TTGAGCAACTATAAAAATCGTATTTTTAATTTCGATACTCCAAAGGATGTATAGGTTTCCTTAAACTGTTTTTAAACCCTCTAGTTGTTTAACAAAATAAGATTGCACAACAATCGCAAGAAACTGTTTATAGCTTGAATAGTTTGAACTTGATCTGTCCATGGTCGTCGCGATTTCAATAAAATATTTCTGGTTAGGAAACCCATTTTCTGTAACAAAATTGCACAAAGCTTCTTACCGAATTCCACACCCAACTTTCATTCGTATTCGGGTGAAAACCCCAGGTCCGAGTTTTTATCTGGAATTTATGAACTATAGTAGTCGTGTTTCTTGAAACGTTTTCCAGCTATTCACATTCATTGCTACTTTGCCGTACTACGACGGGTTTAGACAAAATGTAGCCTATATTTATAGCTTTATATTCTGTCTGTAATCGGAAACACTGGCGTCTGTAATTCCTGTGAAACGACTAAAATAGAATTGCTCTTATGTACTTTGTGAAATACTATTAGCAAGTAGTAAATTATAGAGTCAGTTTCCACAATTTGTCATGTTGAAGATCGATAGGGTAGTTTGATTCTTAAATCCAGCAATTATACAAACTAAACAGTTTGGTACAAACTCTGCAGTTCGGAGTTCGGTACACAGTTTAGCAGTTTAGTACAAACTTTGCAGCTTGGTACAATCTTTTGCAGTCTAGTAAACATACCGATTGTTATAGGCTACAATAGCTTTTAATTCATGATATTTCGACGTACAATTTCGAAGGACCACAAATTGGGTTTAATAGTTGGGAGCAAACAGAAACATGACAGCAGGACCCCACACACCCAATCACCCGATAGACCACAGTAGGTGTGTGTGTGCGTGTGAGAGAGAGAGAGAGAGCGAGGGGGAAGCAGATGTGACATGATAACAAGCCAGCGGTCGCGGCGTTCAAAACCGGTTCTGCTGTATAGGTAGTAAATCTTCAAAACGAGCCGCGACCAACGTGTATTGCCTGCTTCCTCGACCTTGTCTTGTTAGGGAACAATCGAATGGAACAACCGAAACCGAGTAGTTCTCTATCGTACCGAATAGATTACCGGGATAGGATTTTTGGGGGTATCACGAATTCGCAATTTGGTGTTCCTGTTTTACTCTCCACTCATAAACCAATCATCTTGGGACCTTTTAAGTCGGTTAAATCATGCAACCATGTAAAATGATTTTGAAAAGTTTTTATATGTATGACTACATGATCGTTAGTGGTATTCAAAATCTATAAGTGTACCCTTAATAAAGAATGGCATCAAAGTGAATGTGCAAAGATAAGTGAATGTACCAGTTAACAGAATGTAGAAAGACTACACTGTGTCTCAATGGTTTCAGCAATGTGTGTAAAGCCTGAGCTTGAGCAACTTGAGCTTTAATTCCACCTTTATTATTTTGAAAAAAAAAAAAAAAATAAATAAAAGGTTTAATCTGTATAAGGGGATTTTCTCTGCTAAATTTTTCCCAGATTTTTTTACCAAAATAAAAATAAAATTGTTGAATACTTAATTCCTATTAAATCCTACCGTATTTCATTATGGTACGTTTTATTATTTTTTAAACAACTTTTTGTTCATATGTATGATACTCGTTTTGTAAGTAGGTACCGGAAACAATATGTTGAGTTTTAGCAAACTACCCTATAGGGAAGTAGCTATTACCGTAGGTGGGACGGTAAGACTTAGGCCCGGGACAGACTTATTTTTCTCATTTTGATGTCCCCAGAGGCCAAAAACACCATTTGTTCAAATTTTTATATATATGTGTCCGTGATCGCGTAATTTTTGTCCGATTTTAATGAAATTTGGTTTGAAGGTGTAATGCGAGATAAACTTGGATGAGCTCGTGAACCAGCATGATCGGACCATGGGAACGGAATATTACAGGGGATTTTATGGGAAAAAATTTGGTTTTCTCATTTTTGACCCTCAAAAGCAGAAATATTTCAATTTCTCTCTAGAGTCTAGATCATCTAAAAGAGCTTAAAAAAAGCAAATAATTCAGTATATCAAAGTTTTTTAGTACAGTTAGTTAATAAAAAAAAAATGTAATTTTAAAATTCCCATGGTATTCTTATTGGAGAATATTGTAAAAAATTTTGTAGTTTGCTTGTTTATGGACAATTTTTAATCAAACTTAGCAAATTTATTTATTAAAATACTAAGCTATTAATATTTTACTAAAAACACACTTTTTTAGTTTCCCTGTACTGTAGCAGCAAACTTAGGTACTCGTTAAACCTATGTTATTTAGGCCCTAAATAGATTTGAAAATCAATTCAGGCAAATGGAAAGTCAGCAGGTTTGCTGCGGCGGGGGTATTTATTCATTAGTAAGGTTGCTCCTTAACCCAGCATTTTGATTTAAATTATTTTTTATTTGTGCTGTAACAACTTTTTAATGATATTACTTATTTATCCTGCTTTAACAATCTTAGATTATTTTGGAGTACGGTACATGCTTATTTTGTCATACAAAAATCATGAATAAGGAAAGCTATACCAAGTTTATGTATGATGAAGTTGTCTATCTGATTCTTGCTAGAAACTAAATTGTAAGTTTCTGTCTCAGTATTAAGAAGGTGTTGATGTTGCCCAAGAGCTGAGAATGTTCAGGATAAGTCCAACTTTAGGCTACTACATGTCTATTGCCTCCAGCCTGTTTGTTAACAAGCCCTTCTAACATTCCTAGACATATTATCATCCCTCACTTTGGTATCTGATAACCAGGGTGTCTAGTAGTCGGGAAAATCGGGAAAGTCGGGAATTAGTCTTGAATTTCAAAATGGTCTTGAAAGTCGGGATTTAGTCTTAAATTTGATTTCAAAGTCGGGAATTTTCGTGATTTTGCCGCGATCGTCGTCTTGCGTTTACGTGACTGCAAAAGCCAATGATGATGTCTACACGGCCTCGGGAAATGTTCACGATTTTGCCGCAATAGTTGACGACGACGATGACGTTTCCGTGACCGCGGGAGATGACGATGACGTTTCCGTGACCGCGGGAGATGACGATGATGTTTCCGTGACCGCGGGAGACGACGATGACGTTTCCGTGACCGCTGGAGACGACGATGATTTCTGCTCGGCCGCGGGAAATGTTCATGATTTTGTCACGATCGCGGACGACGACGATGACGTTTCCGTGACCGCGGGAGACGACGATAATGTCTACACGGCCTCGGGAAATGTTCATGATTTTGCCGCGATCGCGGACGACAACGATGACGTTTCCGTGACCGCGGAAGACGACGATGATATCTGCTCGGCCGCGGGAAATGTTCATGATTTTGCCGTGATCGCGGACGATGACGATAACATTTCCGTGACCGCTGGAGATGACGGTGATGTCTAAACAGCCGCGGGAAATGTTTATGATTTTGTCACGATCGCGGACGTCGACGATGACGTTTCTGTGACCGCGGGAGATAACGATGACGTTTCCGTGACCGCGGGAGACGACGATGATGTCTACACGGCCGCGAGAAATGTTCATGAGTTTGTCGCGATCGCGGACGACGACGATGACGTTTCCGTGACCGCGGGAGATGACAATGACGTTTCCGTGACCGGGGGAGATAACGATGACGTTTCTGTGACCGCGGGAGACGACGATGACGTTTCCGTGACCGCTGGAGACGACGATGATATCTGCTCGGCCGCGGGAAATGTTCATGAGTTTGTCGCGATCGCGGACGACGACGATGACGTTTCCGTGACCGCGGGAGATGACAATGACGTTTCCGTGACCGCGGGAGATAACGATGACGTTTCCGTGACCGCGGGAGACGACGATGACGATTCCGTGACCGCGGGAGACGACGATGATATCTGCTCGGCCGCGGGAAATGTTCATGATTTTGCCGTGATCGCGGACGACGACGATCACGTTTTTGTAACCGCTGCAGTCAATGATGATGTCTAAACGTACGATACATGGAAGATTTCATGAAAAAAAAACAAATTTGCTAGTTAGAATTTTTTATTGCTGCATTATTTCTTTACTTGAAAACACCACATTATCATAATACTACTTTATGACAAAGACAGGGGTTGGTGTAGTATTATTCAGAAAATTTGGTTAAGCTATAAAAATTGGTATCAGTATCAAGAATCGAGAATCGATACATTTTGGTATCAACGCCCACTAATTGTTGAAAAAACTAGTCTTGAAAAATCTGGAATTAGTCTTGAAAAGTCTGGAATTAGTCTTGAATTTTATAATGGAAATAAACTAGACACCCTGGATAACTGACAAACATTGTAACAATTGGATATTTGCTCTTAAAGATGTTTTCGATAGGGTGCTGTGCTGTGAAATTTTGCCAGAAGTTGGAATTGCTAATTCAATTTTGATGTGACGGAAGTTTTAGCTTTTTGAATTATGGACATTCATTTATGTAACCAACCAACTATTTACAGTTTGTAGAAATCAATATTGCAGCATTAAGAATTTTCTCAACCAGTTAAACAATTTTATTCACTAACTAGATCCTGTCACCAACGTAAAAAATTATTTTGAAGGACATTAAATCTAGAAAATAGCATTATTAAATTTGTCTCCTTTTCCTGAACTGTCATGAACTTGTTACCTTTTGCAGGTGTTCTGCATCCCCCCCCCCTGTGATGTACATGTAGAGTTCTGACTTTCTGCACTCCACTCTGTTCTAATTTTTGAAAGGAAAAAAACAATTACCTCTGCTACAATTTCCCTTTTTGCCAACATAGCTCTTTGCACCTGGGCAAGCCAGTTTGCTTCATTAGGCCTAATACTAGACCCCATTACAGTATTCGTTTAGCAGTCGTAAGGTTGGTTATTTTTTCATTAATCTAGTCAACTAACGTTTAATATTTGTTGTTATTAGGGATGTTACGCCTAAAGAACTTGATGATAGTTATACTGAAAAGCGTAGATTGAGTAGCTCTTTTAGAAGCTATATTTGTTTACTTATTTTCGATTTCTGTTCCAGACGCAGTGTTACTGGCGAGATGTATGTAAAGTATGACCTCTCGAGTGCCTCCTCTACATGCTCATCACATACGGTGAGTCTTCGGTCTGTGGTGGTTTTTAGAAATCTTCCTAAAACTGAGAGTTTACTCAGCCTTAACCGAAATGTGTTGTTCAAAATCTACGAATCATTATGAAAGCTCTCTCCAGTATCTAAGTTAAATGTTCAATAAATAATCTAGAAACCTTCATGAAACTAATAGCTTTCTCAGTGCCACAGCTCAGTGTTACACAAAAGCTGGAAACCTTCGTAAAAATGTGTAATGCAAAATCTGAAAATATTTGTGTGAAAAAAACTTGCAGCTATATTTACAAGTTTACTTAGCAATACTTATGCTCAGAATCATCAATTTTTCATATTTTACTATATATATCTATATAAATAAAATTAGAGTTTTGTCTGTACATTGCTCAGAATCATAAACTTTAAGGTTATTTTTACGTTTTATACATTAAAGAAACCGAAACAAGTCTCATCTAAATTTCTGTCTGTCTGTCTTCCTGTCTGTTATGGCCCAAGAGCCATTTTACGCGGCCTTCTCCTGAAAAACGAGAGTACCTATCAAGTTCCAAATCACTTTAATGTATTCCACTGGATTGGCGAGATTGTCTTTAGTCATTAAAATATGGCATCACTACTTTGTAAATAAAATGACAGACGTTTAAAAACCCATTTTTGTGCGATTTTTTGTAAAGTTTTCTCCCAATGTTTATCACATAATTATCTATGAAATAACAAACAGCTGTTCGAATCAAGATTATTTCTTCTAGCTGTCACTGATATGTTTACATTGAATGTTGTTTACAAATACCGCAACCATTTCCGATCATGTTTTGAAAGCAAATCCAAACAAAGTAAGATTGAAAACGTGTTTTCTTACATAACGGATTTAATTAATCGCAAGTGCAATAATTTGTAGGGTAACCGTAAATGAAAATAGAGATTCTTTGTGTATAAAATTGTTCTTGAGTTTTGATAACCGGGAAAAAGACCTTGAATCAGTGTTGTATATGGCTGGAAAACTTACATTTTTTAAATGAGCGTTTTCAGTTGAGACTCGGCACGGGAATGTTGCTGGAAGTCAACAGTCCCGGAAGATCAAATAATTTATACCTTTGCCTCTAGGTCAAAAACTACAATGTTTGCAGTGTCTGTAGATCAAAAGTCCCAGTAAGTCAAATAATACAGTCCGAGCTAAAAACGTGGTCTATGTTAAAGCAATTGACTTATTGGGAATTTGACCTAATGCAACAGCAGTTTTAATATAACAAAATACGGTAAAATACAAGTTCAGTTTCGCTGAGTCAACAGTGCCGGAAGATCAAAAGCAATAAAAGTGAACGTCGATTCAGTGTAAAGTAGACCTCCTGCAACGCTTACTACACCAACAAAACTCGCTTTTAGTTACTTCGTGTTTTGTCATAATTAGAATAGAGCTAAAATTATCATATTTGGTACATAGCTTATCTATTAATGCTTCTTGCCAACTGTTTGGTCAACACTGTAAATAGGTATAGTTTATGTAATGAAAAGCCTTTCGTCAAAATTTGTGGCATGAAATACACGCAAGGGCGATCTGAAAATTTCTGGTTATTATATACGTTTGTAAAAGGAGACCCATTTAATTTTAGAACTATTTTATGAGTTATAATGTAGTCTACACATCAACTGTGTAAATGTATTACGCCTCGTAAGGGTTGAAACCTGTCCAAACTATCATATATATTATTAAAACGTAAATGGGGGTTTTTCACATTCTGAATCAACCAGTCGACGGATTTTCATTATTTTTGTGTTGAAGGAAAGATAATTTTGAGAACTAGGGAATGTCAAAGCCATAATTATAATTAAGGGCCCCAGTTTTTTAGAAATTAAGTTTTAATTTTTAAAAAGTCTAGCAGCCGACGCTAACCTTCTTCAACTTAACATGTACTTTAAGTACAATATAATTTAAGGTATGAGGATGGCAGATTAATTAAATATGCATAGTAAAATAGTAGGATGTTCAAATGATTTTTAAAGGAATCTTTGTTCTCATTGATTTGTTTTAGTCCCATATAATTTGTTTTAACTAACAGCTGGTTGAATGTAATATTGTTCTATATAACTATTAGGTTTTGGCGAATTTCCCATATAGGGAATAAGCTATTACCGTAGTACTTATGGTAACACCTGAACCCGGGACCGATTAAATTTTTCGTTTTGTATATACAGGGTGATCAAATCAAGGAGGCCACCATTGGGAAATCAGAAACGGTAAGAATTAGAGAAAACTTTAAATGGGGGACATTCCTTTATTTTTTGTGGCAGTTAAAAATATGATTTTAGTTTTTTTATCATGTTTTTGGATAGAATATGCAATTTAAAAACTTTTTTAGCCTTGACATTTTTTCGATAAACCCACTCGTTTAGGAGTACAGCCTATGGAAAAATGACTTCCGGTGTACATTTTACATCATGTAGCTCCCAAACGAGTAAGTTTAGAGCTAAATTGCAAAAAGTAAATTAGTCTTAGAATTGCATCTACATTCCTTAAAGACTAAAAAACAACAAGTTTTCAGCTTTTCAAGTTTGCCGCCATTTTTTAAATAATATAATTCATATTTTTAATGAATTTTATGGTCTTTTTGGAATGTGGATGCAATTGTAAGACTTTTTTACTCTTCGCATTTTTGCTATAAACTTACTTGTTTAGGAGCTACATGATGTAAAATGTACACCGGAAGTCATTTATCCATATGCTGTAACTCCTAAACGAGTGGGTTTATCGAAAAAATGTCAAGGATAAAAAAGTTTTTAAATTGCCTATTCTATCCGAAAACATGATAAAATATAGGGTGTTAAAATCATATTTTTAACCACCACAAAAATAAAGGAATGTCCCCCATTTTAAGTTTTCTCTAATTCTTAACGTTTCCGATATCCCAATGGTGGCCTCCTTGAGTTGATCACCCTTTAACTTATAGCCTATATTTATTTATTTATATATTTTTCCCGGGGGAAACCCCAGGACCCCCCCTCCTTTTTGGGGGGTATTCCATACCCCCAGGCCCCCGATGACCCCCCCCCCCCAAAATATATGTCTAGGACCGTCCTTGTCTTCTTAACCTATAAAACACGTGGGATACAGCCTTTCTTCACTGATCACGTAATGCGTGATTTTCTATAAAGTCTTGGGAAATAAAAAGGTAAAATAGATAGAATACATGTGTACTGTATGTGGTTTACAGTTTACACACAAATATTCATCAAACTGTGTGATATTTTGTTATTGCAAAGAACAATTTGGGAGTATCGTATTGTTTAAGTCGATGGAAAATCTCTGTTGATCCTGTTTTACAAGCAAACCAAAAAGATACAGTAGTCACCACTCTATGCGACATATTCTAACCAGAAAATTGTAATCGTATGATTCTATAAGCATTGGTAGAATTGCAAAGTACTACACAAACATTATTTCAAGGGTAATAACAGTCACAATTTCCGCTGACTTTAAAAGAGTCAACTAAAATATTATACTAATGGACACACAACTAAATGGAACAACTAATGGAAATACTCACGATGTACATATAACAGTTCGATATAAGCATTGAGTATACACGTCAGTAGATACGTGTATACCCAATGATATAAGCAACGGTTCTTGCAATTTATTGTTTATTATTTTTTAGAGTTGTTTCGGACTTACTCACACTCGTATAAGGTTGTCCACGTTTGTCAATGATAATGTAGACATGTTACACCCGTTGTCACGAATATGTTTACAAGTTTTCCGTCTGTTTTTGAATAGCGATACATTTTTTCACATACTTAAGAACCACCTGATTTCGCGCATTACATGTTCGTCTCAATTTTATTTGCTTTAGTAGGCATTCTTTTGGTTGATGAGGACTTCAATAGGTCCTTTGCTCATGAAATATATATTTCTTAATAATTTTTATTGTTTGGTAAAATAGATTAAATTATCCAGCAAACCCAAATAGAAATAGTAAATATAGTATTTAAAAAAAATCAGTAACATGTTAATAATGTAGCCTACATTATTTCCTTGAATTGCATAACAGCAATTAATTGAGCTGATCCTTATATAAATAAATCAAAATGTTCTTCAAAGGCATAACATGGGTTCTTTAAGGGGAGCACGCTGTGAGTTAGGCCACAATGCTAATTATATGGGGTAACAAGCTTCTATATCGGTACCAATATCTCAAAAAATATATGAGATATTGATCTGAAATTTTTTTTGATTTTCCTATACATATAAAACAGTATAACCATGCAAAATAATTAATTTATGGCAAATAGTTCGAAAAATATATTATTTAAAAAATTTTATATACATTTTTTTATTATTTTTTTATGAAAATAAAAATATTTATACCATTTATAATGAAGATAATATTACATAGTTGCATCATTCTACTCAACAATCTAGCAGAAACAACTGGTGAAAATTTCAAGTCTCTACTCATGACGGTTTCCATAGAAACGGTACCTAAACACTAAAAAACAGAAGTTTCGGGAAATTGAACTTAAACACGAACCCGAATAGGCCTACTGTCACTAGTGCACTAGAAAACCTCCTGGCAAGAATTCAACACAGAGACTGTCTTCTAGTTTCCTTTTTGTTAACCTTCTTCTTATTCTTTGCTTTTTATTTACTTCCTGCACTTCTCTGTCAGCTTTTTTTATTCTGATTTGGTCGATTTTTGTAAGCCTAAACTATATAATAATAGTAAACTTTCCTGGTTTGATTTCTACCCGTTCCAAAACATTTGCCTTAGCAATTTATTTCCTCTAAACTTGTGTTTCCCAAACTTTCTAATCATAGGCATTTTGATGAAAGACTAGGCCTCATTTACTTGAAAGTAACGACAAAACTCTAAACTAAACACCAAATGAATAAAATCCCAACAACAACAACAATCAACAATCACTGGGATAGACGACAGATGTAATTTGATGTAAACATTAGGTAAACAAACAAAGTAGAAGGCCAGCAGATAATCTGTAAATATTCAGTGCTACCAACAGCACAAATGAAATACTCCTTAGTGTTTACTAGTTATACTATATACTAAATTTACTTAGATAGATGGTTACTATTTGTGTGAAAACAATGAGCATCTCAGGAGAGCACGCTAGTAGGCCTAGCGCCAAACGTGTGTAAACATTATTTAATTGTTTTATTTAGCTGAAAATATACAAGTTATGTGTTAAGTGTTATATATTTTCTTAAACAGCATAAAACGGGCAATAAGTTTAAAGCGTTTTCAAAAAATCAATTTTTTTTACCCATCTCACGGCATGCTCCCCTTAAGAGCCACTGGGGCTGAGCCCAAGGGATTTTAAAACGTAAGGTTGGTTTGCAAATGTACGTGACACGCTCTTTCTAATGAGACATGAATGGTCAAAATCGCCTGAAATGCGGAAGAGTTCAACGGAAAAATTTCGTGTTGGCGTTACAGTATGGTTGAAAAGTCCTGGATTGGCTATATTTTTTTAACAATATAGATAAAGTAGTGAGACTTGGTATATCAATAATAGCCATAAATATCTACTGTCTTAAGCTATTATCACTTTTTTTATCCCTTAAGGGGGGTGGACCACAAAGACTAAGACAAAATTCTTATATAATTTTAATACTATTTTACCTGTTTTTGAAATGGCGACCATACAAATGTATGCATTTTAAGCCAAGTATGAATGGAGATGAGTGGGCTGTAGGCGGAAAAATACGAACAAACTAAACTATTTATTAACAAAACTTTTTTGTGTTGAAATTTAAAGACAATGGTCTCAAACTCTACACCGAATAATGCTAATTCATAATGGTTATTATATATATGATCGATAATGTAGCCATGTTGCTTTGAAATGGCGACCATACAAATGTATGCATTTTAAGCCAAGTATGAATGGAGATGAGTGTGGGATGAGTGGAGCGATCTTGTTGTCCTGTTTGTGACTAAGGCCGACATAATCCTTAGACACAGCTGTTAATTAAAAGTGCATACAGTCAATTAATAGCAGCAGAGGTCAAGTTTGGTATCAAATTAAAGGTTTTATTCATAAAAATACATTGCCGCAAACCCAAACTCAAACGATGATGATGATAAGTCGCTAAAACGTATCGTTTGAAATTTAACAGCTGAAAATAAGTGAAATAGAAAAGGTTTTGGTTAAATCCATCAAATTGTAATTGGACGTGATTTAGCAGATAGAAAATCAATCAGCGGAATGATGTACAAGTTAGGAAACAGCACTATAAACTGGATTAGCAAAAAACAGACCAATGTCACTCTTTCTTCAACAGAAGCTGAATTCATGGCCGCAAGCTTAGCCACTCAAGAAGTAGTAAATACTAGTGAACTTGTTGCTACCTCCCCCCTTCGGTTTCATGTATTCCTCTCAATCAGTTCAAACCTAGGAGGATTAAACACTAATGTTAATTAATGTTAAATCCTCCTAGATTCAAACCTGAAACACCCAGATCGAAACTCACCTGTCGTTATTTTACCATCGCCTTTTTTTAAATATATTTTTCAAAAAAGAAATATTATATTGATTTACTTTGAATTTTAAAAATGTTAACGTTTTATTTTGTTAAAGATTTATGGTGATACGTAAATATTGTGGTGTAGTAAAGTATATTATATTGTAGTTAAGTGTTAAATTTGGAAATTTTAGGGTGAATCGAGATGATTCTTTTTTTATAACATGGGTCTCTCCTACCTTAACCTACATACCAAGTTTCATAAACATCGGTTGGAAAAGTGCAAAGATAAATATTTGTATGTAAAAAATACAAAATGGTGGATATCTGGTTAACGAAACGATTTCGGAAAGAATGTTATCCTTCATTTTCTGTTTATTTTGACCCAAGGAATTACTAGGTAAAGTATCTCCCCGCTTATTTTTAACACCCTGTTTATGATGTATTCTTATAAGTGAAAAATGTAAGCTGGTAATACAGAAAGATGTTTTATAAATAATATGAATGTACTGATGATCTGTATATTCATCTTTTTCTTGTTCTTAGAACTGTAAATTAAAAGTCCACTCAGCAGTCGCATCGTACGATGTAGTTCTTTCCATGCGTTGCGAAATGCTAAATTTGCCGTCCTCTTCAACCCAAGTTATCTATTAAACCACTGATTGTAAAAAATTCAAAAAAATATATTTTACGCATCACACTTTTGGCTACAACTTTGCCACAGACGAAACCTCTCTAACCCAAAAACAACAAAAAATCTCGCATGCTAACTTTTTCATGTTAGAAATCACGATTTAAAATTATTTCACCATACATATCAATTTTTATTAATTATATCGGTAAATAGTTCCAACAAAATAGTCATCGAGTAGGACTAACCAAGAAGCTCTGTGCCAATTTTCAAAATTTTAGCACAACTTTAAGTACACCAAAACACGAAATTATTGAAGTCATGCGTCGAGAGGACTATCGTTGTTTTTAACAGATTATACTTTTGACCTTCCGGCACTGTTGACTCAGCGAAACTGAACTTATATTTTATCTTATTTCGTTATATTAAAACTGCTGTTGCATTAGGTCAAATTCCCAATAAGTCAATTGCTTTAACATAGACCACGTTTTTAGCTCGGACTGTACTATTTGACTTACTGGGATTTTTGATCTACAGACACTGCAAACATTGTAGTTTTTGACCTAGCGGCACAGGTATAAATTATTTGACCTTCTGGGACTGTTGACTTTCTGCAACGCGTCCCTCGGCACACGACCGACGCGCGTCTACATGTCCATAGTAAAAATAAAAGTAGGCCTACCGTGTATTTATGTTTTATTCGTCATGTGTATAAGTGTACAGTTCGTGTATGTGTTTTAAAACTTCAAGACGCACCTAATGGGGAAGCTCAAGACCTTATATTAGGACTCATGATGGCGTTTTATTTTCGCCGAAATGCATCTCCTGTAATAAGATATATTAGGATCGACCGGCGGACACAGGTACCTTTTATTGATTGTTACCGATCCGGAACAACAACAAACAACATAAAATGAAGTTAAGTATAATAATTTGGAAAGCATATCTGAAAACATGCAAACCAACTGCTGTTCTTTATATAAGAAGGTTTCAACTGAATACTATAAGATCCCCGTGCGTAGAACAGGTACACAGCTAGTATAGGCTATTATTATTAGGCCCTAATAATTTTTTGGGTTATAAACCCAACACATAAGATAAACCATGGTTAATCAAATACATCATCCTAATAAGTATATGCAAAAATAATGTGCATCCGTTAAACATGTTTTAAAATCTTACTCATGGTGTTAGGATTTTCTTTTATCTCTACTAATATTGCATTTTTACTATTTTAGTACCCCATGGGGCGGGCCACCCTCAGAGTCATCGTCGGACCGCACGTACCACTGTCCCGCCGACTGTTACTCAGAACCCCCCGACAGTCACTGGTACTCAGCCCCTGCACGGACGCCCAGTCCTCACTACGATGTGATAGAAGGCCCCCGCCCACACACACATACACACAGTCGCGTAGGGGGAAGCAGCAGAGCTGTCACGCCCGCCAGTACCGCTCACACGCACGAACCTGCTGTGGACCCATGCGGGGGCCATTGCACCGCCTTCGAGAACTTCTGCCACTACTGCCTACAGGTTGGAACTCGCTTGTATTATTTATAATTTTCTTGAATAATTACTGTTTACTATCACTACTGTAATTCTACTTTTGATATAGCTTTTAAAGTTTCTTCAGGTTCCGGTACTTTGAAGATTTTATTATGAATAAAAATCTTCTTGAAAGCTACTACAGAAAAGTAAGGAACAGAGGATACACTCCATGGTACACTTATGTGGTGACTAGCACTAGTGTTACAAGGGCAAAGTCTTCCACCGTCCCCCTCGCTCCTGTGTAGGAAGACCCTGTGTCTTTTGCAATAGGGATTCACACAAAGAGTTTGCCGTTCGGGCTCTTCCTTCCTCGTAACAAGTATGTTTCCGGCACAAAATACTAGAGCTGTAATTGCACCATGGCTTTCCCATAAACTAATTTCCTCTGTACCTTACTTATCTGTTGATTAACTAGGTTTATGAATGCATATTTTAAAAGAAAAGGTAGCATTAAAGAATAACTACCTCAGATCTTTGCATCATTTTACAAGCTCATAACATGATACAAGTACAGTCCTAATGCCATCACACACAGCTGGGAAGATATGGTTCAAGTCTCAGTAAGGACTGATTTCAGCTGTGAGATTACTGTAAACGACCGTTTACAACCCACCTCAAGGCTTGGGTCAATCCAAATGAAATCAACAAATAAAAAAATAATTTTTTGACATAATTTATTTAATTTTTATTTGCTTATTTTCTGTTACTATATATATTGGGAGGATATATATAAGGAGTCAGCAGCGGATGGCAATCGCCGAAATGGCAGACGCGCTTGCCACTAGGGTGCTGGCACTCCAGCATCTGAGAGTCGGCTGGGTCAACTGCAGGCTCAGACGGAGAGTGGAAGTGAAGAGGTGTTTTAAATGCCTCTGTTTCGGCCATTCCTCCCGAAACTGCAAGGGACCCGACCGAAGCAAGAACTGCCTTCGGTGCGGGGAGGTTGGTCACATCCGTAAGGACTGCAAAGTCGAGTCCTGTTTCCTTTGCAAAGAAAATGGGCTCGCTGACAAACACGTAAAGCATATAGCTGGGTCTGGGCAGTGTAGTGTATTTAAAACTGCTCTACAGCAAGCGAAATCTCTCCCACGAAGATAAGAATCCTTCAGTGCAATCTGGAGCGATCCAGGACGGCTGACGCACTTCTTTGTCAGTTTGCCCTCGAACACGATGTCGACGCTCTCTTAATCAGCGAACAGTACCAGTATCGAGATAGGGACCCATCTTTATGGTTCCCTGATAGTCTTGGTACTGCTGCATTCTGGGCTCGTAATGCAGCTAAAGTACAAGTGCGGGGTCACGCGAATGGCCGAGGTTTCGTTTGGGTTCGGTGCAGGGATGTCACTTACTTCAGTGTCTACCTTACTCCCAACGAGGCCATCCGTGACTTTCGTGAGAAGATAGACCGCCTAGAAGAGAGCGTGCGCGATACCACCGGACACGTCGTCGTGGGTGGGGATTTTAATGCTAGGGCTGTCGAGTGGGGAATGACCCTCACCAACTCCCGGGGCAAGTATATTCTGGACTTTGCTGCCAGAGCCGGACTCGTTGTACTGAATGAGGGCAACACGCCAACTTTCCGCCGCCCTGGGATGCGGGGGACGATCCCAGACATTACCCTTGCATCTGAGTCCCTTTTGCCAAGGATCAGATCCTGGAGAGTCCTGGAGGATTACACGGGCAGTGACCACCAGTACATAATTTTTGACGTCCTGGATGGTCATCAGAGACAAGTGGCAGCGTTTCGTCAAGTGCCCGTTCGATGGAACATTAAAAAACTGGACGTGGCAAAATTCAATGGAGCCATCCTACGAAGAACGCCGGATATTCATCCCGCACCTGGCGTGCCTCACGCAGAGGCGTTAGTTGCATCCACGATGGAACTGATTGTCTCGGCCTGCGATGAATCTATGCCTCGCAGGAGATACCGGTGCAATAAGCGTCCTGTGTACTGGTGGACTGCCGAGATTGCGGAATTGCGACGAGCAGCATTGAGAGCCAGAAGACTTGCTACCAGGGCTAGAGAACCCCTAGACAGACGGCGTAAGTCGGATGCTTATAGGGCGGCTAGGAGGTATCTTCGTCGAGCCATCAATCGGAGTAAACGCAGTTGCTGGGATAAATTAAGGGACGATGTTGATTCCAACCCGTGGGGCCTGGGTTACAAACTTGTAACCAAGAAACTTGGAACCCGCTCTCCACCTTCCGTTATGGACAGGGTCACTATGGAGAGGATAGTCGAGTCCCTTTTCCCGGCTCACGCGTTGCGACCACTGCGGGATTTCGGAAGGGTGGACGACGTCCCACTTTTCAGCCCTGAAGAGCTGGTGGCGGCCGTCATATCCCTGAAGAACAACAAGGCTCCTGGTCCTGATGGGGTACCCGGTGAAGTCCTCAAGAAGGTTTTGACTACCAACCCCTTGATCCTTTTGAGCATGTACAACGCCTGCCTGGTCGAAGGGGTTTTCCCCTTGTGCTGGAAGACAGCTAGGCTTGTGCTTGTTGGGAAGGGCAAGGGAGACCCAGATCTGCCATCCTCTTACAGACCTCTGTGTATGTTGGATACGGCTGGCAAAGTCCTCGAGAAATTGATCCGTTCCCGGCTGAATTCAGCCGTTGTCGCTGCGGGGGACCTCTCCCCTCGTCAGTGTGGATTCAGGACGGGGCGATCAACGATTGATGCGATTGAGGAGGTGAAGCAAGCAGTGATGAGAGCTGAGGATTTTAACCACTACTCTCGCAGGGTTGTGCTGCTCGTAACGCTCGATGTGCGAAATGCATTTAATTCGGCGAGGTGGTGCGATATGCTGGACGCTCTGGAGAACACCTTCCACGTGCCGGCATACCTCATGCGCATCATAGAGGATTATCTCCAGTTTCGCCTCCTAACGTATGACACTGCGGAGGGCCCGCGGACGATGAATGTCACTTCTGGTGCTGCCCAAGGTTCCATACTCGGCCCAGACCTCTGGAACGTCGCTTATGACAGCCTTCTGAGGTCTGGAATGCCTGAGGAAACGGTCTTGGTTGGGTACGCAGACGACGTTGCAGCTTTGATAGCTGCACGTAGCGTTGAGCTGGCTCAGCTAAAGCTAAACCGAGTTATGCGTACCATAAACGCATGGATGGCAGACCACGGTCTCTCACTTGCTCTGAGCAAAACCGAGATCGTGATTTTGACAAAAAAACGGATTGACACCATCGTGCCATTGAGGGTGGGAGCCGTCGAGGTTCAAACTGTTCGTTCTGCCAAGTATCTTGGGGTCATGGTAGACAGCAAGCTTAGCTGGCGGGATCAGATCTTCCGAACAGCGGACAAGGCCGCTAGGGTGGTTTCTTCTCTTAGCCGGTTGATGGCCAATGTCGGAGGGCCTCGGTCCAGTCGTAGAAGGCTGTTAATGTCTTCGGTCCAGTCCGTACTCTTGTACGGTGCGGAGGTGTGGGCAGACGCACTAAATAAGGAGGCATACAGGATGCGGCTCGCCCGAGTGCAGCGTCAGGCAGCACTGAGGGTAGCATCTGCCTACCGAACAGTGTCCCAGCCCGCCGTCCTGGTGATTGCTGGAGTCATCCCCGTCAAACTTTTGGCGGCGGAGAGAAAGGCAATTTACCGGCGCCGCCGGGAGGACGAGGCACGAACAGAGGAACGCACCCGCACCTACCAGCTGTGGCAGGAGGGCTGGGAACAGGAGACACGGGGACTCTGGACCAGGCGACTGATACAGCAAGTCCAACCTTGGGTTGATCGGCGTTACGGAGAGGTGGACTTTTACCTCACCCAATTTCTGACGGGACACGGCTTTTTCCGGTCGTACCTGTTCAGGATGGGCAAAGCCGTGTCTCCCGACTGCATATACTGCCCAGGCATTCTCGATGACGTGGAACATACATTTTTCCACTGCCAGCGCTGGGAAAGGCCCCGCCTGGAGGCTCAACAGTTAATAGGACTGCTGTCGGTGGACACGGTCATACCGATTATGACGGAGGGTGAGGACAATTGGACCTGTGTGTCACATTATATCCAGGGTATCCTCCGCGCCAAGAAGATCGACCTTGACCGGGATGCGGTGTAGGTAATAAAGAATCAAAATGCCAGAAACGGTGCGAGCCCTGAGGGCTTAGGTCACATGTTGGCCTGACTTGAAGTAATGTGACAAACAATTCCAGGTCTGTGTCCAACAGAGTAGAGGGGGTTTTTTAGTGAGTAGTCTGATAATTTCAGGAGTCTCACACTACAGGCTGGCTACCTGTGTGCGTAAAAGCATTTTCCCTCCTCTCCCTAAAAAAAAAAAAAAAAAAAAAAAAAAAAAACTATATATATTGGAGAGCACAAGACAATATTTTCCAAAATTTTATCATCAATGCTTTGACTGGCTAGCGGTCATTTTGTGTAAGAAGATTGTCCATTTCACGTGTTTTCAAGGGTTAGAAATAAGTTAAATAACTTTTTTATTTATTAAGAATATTTAGATATTAACTGGAAATAAAAATAATCTAATTCTAAATTAAACCATCTACAATTGATGTCATGACCAACGTGTTTGTACCATGTAAGGAAATTACCTAAAATTTTACTGAAAAATTAGGTTTCAATTAGAATAAATTGCTGACTTTATGAATTTATTGCCTATAGAAGGGATGAAAACATATCTTCAATATTTTTTCCCCACAAGGATGCAACAGGTGCTTACACTTAGAAAAAATTTGAGATCTGTCAAATCCATCCTTTAGTTTTATGAGCCTTAAAATATTGTTTTTGATTTTCAAAATAGCAGTTTTTCGGAGTGCTGTATCTCAAAAAGGACTAAACATAAAAATTTGAAATTTTCTTAAAATATACTTGTAATAGTTGGTAATTGAAACAATGAAATATAAAAATTCCCCTGTAGGGGCTCCTCTATGAAATTAAAATAGAAAAGAAAAGATTTGTTTAGCAAAAAGAACTTTTTGCTGAAAAATGATCCTGTCTAAATGATATATGACTTTAAAAAAATTATATTATGTTAATATTTCTAAAGTATTTTTCAGAGGTAATGGATCAGGGCATACTTTAATCAATGCAACATAACCAAACCTCAGGCCTTTTATGGCAGATAACTTGGTTGATTTAAATTCAAGCCAAGAGAGTGACACATGTAGAATGTTTGATTGTTTGTTCACAGCTAAATTTATTGTGTCCTAAGTCACGCTTAGTCAGTGATGCCAGCTGCAATAAATCACACACCGCATGCTGCATACTGATCACCAAACTGATTGAGAAATGAAATATCTTTTGATGTTTTACATTCCATCTCTTTGTTTATGTTTATCTCTTTGTCCCCCCTCCCGTGAATAAAAATATGCTTATACTGCATTTCTCAAGTGTTGGGAGTCAAGATACTCCCGCAGTCCAACAGGGGTTGTAGCCACGAGAAAAGGGAAAGTATGGTCGTATTTCCCATCAAAAACCTGTTTCACATGCCCATGCCAGCTGCTTGCCAGTAGACTAAAACTAAACAGCTGAATTTTATTTGAAAACAAACTAGCTGTAACCCACAGGCTTCATCCCGTTTGACTTCATAAGTTAAAACGATTGATTGGTTAAGTTAAGTTAAGTTAAGTTAAGTTTATCTAAGTGATAATACCGCAACTTTCTCCAGACCTAGCCTAAAGTAATGTGGAAAACAAATCCGAGCGATAACCTTGTTTAAAAAAAAAGTCACTCCCTCTGCAGGTGAAGCTTCATTTGCAACACTCACCGAATGTAGTACTGTTGGTTCCTGAGGTGTTTAAATCAGAGCGAAGCATAGTCAGCCGAAGGCAATCAAAGTAGATCCCAATTGTAACTATGATCTTTCTCTGAGGTGTCAAGGTATCTAGTTGCTGAGTTGTGTTTTGTCACAGGTGCTGTTCATAGCTGGTATCCTGACAGGAATATCCCTGACCATCGCAGGTAGTGTGCTCAAGGGACAGAAGAGAGGAGGAGACCTCATGGTGCTGGTGTATATAGGCTGCCTTACTGCTATGGTAATGTATACACATTCAATCTCTTGATGTATTGATTCATGTAATGGTGTAGTTGAGCAGGAATGTGTGGCATGCCCACTCTGCTTTTCCTATCCTTAAGTCCTCCAGTATAACTTTCTATCTTTCAAGCCGTTTTAAAATCCTTTTTTCATCCAAAAATTAAATATATAAGACTCTCTTCGACACGCAGGAGTAATTTTTCCTTTGTGATAATTTCGCTTTGTGAAATTTAAAAAGCTTTAATAGAACATTTGTATATTATCTACAAAACTAATAATTGTTGTAAACATTTTGGTACTGAGTATTAGTAATGAAATTTGCATTTTTTTTTTAATTTTCAAAATAAATCATATTTTGATTTGATTTTTTCAATAGTCAGTTCTTAGATGATGAGCATTATGCCTATGACCACCTAAATCCATACAGCAGTGTTCATAATTTTGTATATGATTAATCCAAATCTTTACAAACACTTCTCCAATCACTTGTCTATACAGGTGTGTACACTACTTCTGTCAGTGCAGTGCTGTGTCAGACGCAATGTGAAGCGTCGCAAGCGAGCACGTCGCGGCGGAGGCATGGCAGGTGCTATACCTCTGCAGGAGCTGCCCCCATCTGCTCCCACAGCAGCTCCGCTAGCCCCGCCTGTGCTAGCCATGCCCGGCCAGTACGAGCCGTTATTGCGGAGACTAGTGGAGCAGCATGACCAAAGATATGTTCCTCAGGTCGTAGGACCGGCTGCAAGGTTGGTGAAATGTTTAAGAAATTTATAAAAATTATATTTGGTTCAGGGATTTGCAACCTAGATTTTTTTACTTTGGGACAACTCAAGTGAAATATGTTGGCCCGTGGATCACTAGCCAAAATCGGGTTGCTATAGAAAGTATTGATTTAAAAAATATTAATTCTATTTCTAACTAGTCGTTGAAAACTCGATCAAAAGTTGTGCAATATTGTGCAAACTTCTCTGTTTTCACCCCACGCTGTAAATAAAACAAGTGATTGGAATTTCTTTGATTTTCTGTCATTTTCTGTTATTGTAAATTTTGTTGTTATTTCGTCACCAACATAGCAACCCATAAGGCCCATGTTGAGATTTTTTAAAAATTTTTAGTGTTTATTTTTTAGCCTATTTTAATTTATAAAGGGATTCTGTAAATCTACAGGCAAATATCTTTCTAACTGTATGCATATATTTTCCCTGCGATGCACAGGAGCTGAGAAAAAAGGTTTTCAATAAACATGCATGTCTATTTATATATAGAATTAGCCCCATGTTAAATCTTCATAAGAAAAGTTGAATTTCCATTTTCGACCCAATTAACATAAAAATATTTTCAAAATACAAATAAAACCTGCACATATAGGACCAATAACCTTTCTTTTGGTACAACGCGTTTAGGAGCTACAGCGTGTCAAACTTAAAAAAATTAGCTTGCCAAGTGGTTTTAGTCATTACATCTTTGGATTTCCATATTGGAAAACATTGGAATTCATATTTTTTTTATTTCATTAATAACTAGTTGAATTTCCCTATTTAATGTTCTCTAAATCTAATAGTTTCTGGGATACTAATGGTGGCAGAGTTAAGTCGTTCACCCTGTATAGATGTAACAACCCAACCTAACTGTTTCAGAGCGGACCGCAGTGGCACACCGTGGTGGAGACGGAACCCTCCGCAAACTCGGCAGTTGCCTCATTCACACATACAGATGCCTCTATGATATTGGTGCTTACGATTACTGCTGCGATATATATGTTGTTGTGTAATGCATCTTGGATTGTCTCATCGCCTTTAAACAGACTTAAGATTAGAGATAAATGTTTTATTGACGGGTAAATTAAGTAAGTTGCGACCAAATTGTTGCCTTTTTGAGAAGATAGTTGGAAAAATCAAGATATTTCAAATTTAAGGTATAAGGTTTACACTGGATCTACAAGGTCTATAGAGAAAATATGGGTATTGTTTGTTTGCATACTTAAATATTGTCTCCGATTCCTATTATTCCTGATTATGGGAGTTGACAACCTCTTTTAATTTTCTTTCCTCGATAATTCCTCGTCCTTCTACCATTTTACTCCTCTTATCCACACCTCTCTTCACAATCATGACGAAACGTCCATCCATCTTCGTTTGGGTTTTTCTCTCTGTCTCTCTCACATCTCTCAACACACTCCTCACAGTCAACTCTATTTCAATAAAAATACACATTATTACCTTCGCTGTAGCAGCAAACCTTTATGCTGGGGGTAGCACAGATTATAAGGGTATATTTTATTGTAAATCAAACCAGGTAAATAGAAATTCCCCTAGTCTGCAATTTTGCTGCGGCTGGATAATTTTTTAATTTTAATGGCAGTGGCACTTGATTAAAAAGTACTAAATAAGGGGAAATCCGTCAAAATCTCTGCAGTTTTTGGTATTCTGGGGATCTAATTTCTCACTTTCTTACAAAAGGCATTTATCTACTACTTTCTGAATAGACCTTGTAATTAATTATAAAGTGTAAGATCAAAAAATTATGCTGCTAAAAATGTTGAGCATTCCAAGGCCAACCTTTTTAAACTATCAAACAATCCAAGGTGCATATTACATTTTCTTTATAATGTATATATTTTATGAAAGACTGACTCGCGTTTTCAAATGGTAACTTTGCTACCATACCTACTTTTCCTCCTAGTTGGTTTTTTTGAGTACTCGCCCACCCATAGTTTTTAACGTATGTTAATGTGTTATTGTATTTTATTGAATTTATACAATGTTGAAAGTATTTATTGTTCTTTGAACAATTTCTCAATATATCATAACCAAGACTACTGTGACTGAGACTTTTTTCTAGCATGACCTCAGTCACAGTCACAGATAAAAAAATAGTTAAGCTAAAACTTATCATGTCTTTTAATAAGTGTAACTTGCATTAATTTTGTTTTATACTCAACTGGTTTAGTATAATTTGATTTTAAACTTTTTAATATTTACTTCATGTGTACTTTTATTTTACAGTTTAAATCTATTTAAATTTAAAAAATACATTTTAATACCAACATTACACGTTACCTTATAGTCGTTATAAGTAAAATCTTTGTGAGTTATTCATTGGATACACACTAATGTGTAATTTGTATATAGCTTGAATATGCCTTGAAATAAGCCTTATGAAAATATTCTCAATTTCTTCTTAGTTTAAGAGCCAATCACCTAAATGATAAAATATTTTGGAGTTTTATCCATCAAAAGTGTAATTGTGGGCAAAAAACTAGACCTAGGCGTTTGAGTTCAGTTTGTAGAATTGTAAATTTTCACATAACAGCATTCTTTTCTTTTCTTGCATCACTGTCAGTGGCAATGAGAGGTTATAAATAAATGAAAACATAAACTCTCTTAGGCCCGATTTCACCAAACTTTAAAACCACCGTTGAGCCTTGCTCTAACTGCAGTTTGCTCTTAACCGACGAAATCGGATTTCACCACTCGCCGTTAGCGCTAGTTTAGACTAAACCGTCGTTAGATAATTAACTGCCCAATTTTGACCGGTTAACTTCTTTAATCTTTCGTTAAGTAAATATCAGCTGGCTTTAAGTTTAAAGTTTATATGTAAAGGCGAAATGATAGAAGAGAATACGGTACGAATTAGCTTTTGAAAGTAAGTGATGGCAATGAAGAGTAGCCTATGTTGTTCGCCTAACTAGGTGGATAAGAGAAAGGGTTAATGATGTTAACACGTTGACTGCGCGCGCCGACTTTACAGGCGCTCCCCAGTGGCGGGCGAAGCCCCGGCGCGCAACCGAATCAGCGAACGCAATTGGCATTCAAATATTTCAGTCTGACGAATCACAAAAGAGCAGTGGTGACTGTGCTGCGTTACCCCGAGAGTGGATGTAGTTCACTGAAACACCCAAAGGTAGCAGCACTGCATGGATCCGTATCCAGTGTCTTTGTAATGTGGGTTGAAGAGAAAAAATCCCCGAAACCGGGACAAAAGCATTGCCAGACGGGATTTTACGGGAAATTTTAGTACCAACCTACACCAAAGTAAAGCTCGCATTCTAAGCTGGCAGGCTGGCAACGATTATAACGTCTCCGTCTGAGGCTAAGCTCACACTGACTCAATATATTACTGTTGGTCTGGTGCCGACTGTAGTCGGCGCGCGCCACCTGGGAGCGCTGGCGACGCCGACTAAAGTCGGCACGCGCAATCAACGTGTTAATAACAAAGATGAAATTGATTTTATTATTAGATATGAACTTTCAAAACGTTTAGCATTTTCTTTAGGAAATGAAACCACTGTAGTGGTTTGTGTTTAGGTTATCCCACAAGGTTTTTAGTATCAAGGCGTATATCTGTGATCAGCGACCGCATTGAACTGATTGGCGATCAAGAGCCGTACTCTTTTATCCCGACTAAAAAGAGTGTCCCGGCTCTTCTACTTATTATTTTTTTGGCTCTTAATAATTCATTGTTCGAAAATAGGCTCCCTTTCCTTCTCCCGGCTTTGGGTAACCCTAACCCAACGTTCAAACAATTATTGTTTTGCGTTCGGTCAGACGTAAGTAAACCAAAATCTAAACCTAAATTGTCATTATTCTGCTAGTATTTTATAGAAAATAATTATTTTGGTGTTATCTTTATTGTGTCTCGTTCTTGTAATTCTTTTGACTCCAGTTTTTTCACTACTTCAAATGTACCAAACTGGTTAGTGAACAAACAGAATATTGAACATCCCTGTAAAAAGTTGGATTTTGAGTCTTGACTCGACCGCAAAACTCAACCAATTTGCTCCTCGAATATGTTTGATCAACATTGCTTTGCCTTTAGTTACTTATGTTAATTGTTTTGGTATCTATTCTTGCTTTCTGTTGTTATTTTGCTCCAGAATCTATTGTATTCCTGTAAGCTTGCTGTCTCCAGTTTTGTTTTCACTACCTCATAAACACTGATTTATTTTCTAGGTTATGTTTACTTGCTCCCGTAACAGCCCGGTATTATGACAGTTCACTGCCACCGCCAACTGGATTTTACTCTAAACTCTCGTTTATAAAACCAGCGTTAGTTTTGACGCGTTTTCGTTGGTGAAACCAGATTTCCTTAACTGTGGTTTAAATCATCGGTTAGTTTTAACCGAAGTTTAACTAAACGATCGTTAGCGAGAATTTGGTGAAATCGGGCCTTAGAAGTTATGAGTAGTGATTTTTAATAATTAAAACTCTGTAGTAGGTAAAGTAGTGTACGCAACTCGTATAAATAGTGCTAACAACACTCCTATAAGTTTTTAAGGCACTCGCCAAGGCTCGTACCTTAAATTTTTTACTTGTCTCGTTAACACTATTTGTACGCAATCGTTGCGTTAACTACTATTTCATCACACTCCGCAAAAAGTCTCTTATTTTCTTGTTATTTTGATAGTGAAACTTAAGCTGGGGTTGAAAAGAGTCACTTTACGGCCTGGGCCTAGTGATTTTTTATTACTTTTTTTACTAACTATTGTGCTAATTAATTGTGTCATTCAGGTTATTGGCTCTTAACTCTGAGATTGCTTGGATATAAGCACAAATCCTTTGAGTTTAGGAGAAGTTTTCTAGTCTATTTATTTAAAATGTAATTTTTATAAGAATAATTAATCTGTATCATATTGTTTGGTATATAATATTATGTACTAATTTTATAAAGCTTATATTGTAATAAAACATTTGAATGTATATTTTGCTGAATTTGTATGTTTTCTATCCTCAAGTGTCATTTAAATGATCTTTGGAGTTGCTTGGGAAAGAATACCACACTAGGTTACAAAATGTTATTTGTGGGAAACTAAAATAGCTCTTTGATACTTTTACTGTTCCAGTGGTACATGGAGGTCGGAGGAATACTAGTTTAATAAGTTTGAAACTTATACGCTCCAACAAATCCTTTCCTAGTTTCAAAGTTTTGTTTTCAAACCACATGTACCACACTGTAACTTTGATGATGACATAAAACTGTTGTAAATTAAAAAAAGTACTAAAAATGCATTCAACTATAATAAAAATTAAGTTTATAAAAAAAAAAACACTAGAAAACCAAACACCTTGTGCTTACGCATCGTCACTGTTGTCGTGCTTTTTAGGCTCTAGTGTTCAACTAGCTGAGCTAGTTGCCTGCCAGGTTGTCTCTAGTTGCTGCTCAAGCAGAATTTTGTGATGCACCGTTTTTCATAGTACTTGGCTTGGTAACGGGTGAGGACAATGAACCAGTAGCTATCAAGACAATGGGCATTGTTTTATTAACAAGTAGCTGTAACCCGCGGGCTTTGTCCCGTTTAACTTCTTAATTTTCAAGATGATCTCGTTCGCATGGCTCAATCACGTCCTGGTTGAAGTTCGTTCGCTACGCTCACTCACCTTTAGGTTGGAGCTCGTTAGCTGCGCATTTTTGCCTTCAGGTTAGCTCGTTCGCTACGCTCACTCGCCTCCAGGTTGAAGTTTCTTTCGCTACGCTCACTCACCTTTTGGTTGCAAATTAGCTGTTGTCATAATGTAAAAGAAATAATAGTGCTGCACCCTGTTGGTAATCCTTGTAACTTTAATGCTATTGAACATCATAGAACAGAACCAACTTGTTTAATTGAAACAGCTGTTAAGATTCATTAATTCCATTTCTCATAAGGTTAACATGGGAAACTCCAGAGCCACTGGGGCGGAGCCCAGAGGTCGGAGGGTAAAATCATTTCTTAGTGAGCGTCTACTACCCAAAAGGAAGATGCCTGCCAAGTTTCAGGTTCCTAGGTCTTGTGGTTTTTGAGATTTCGTGATGAATGAGTGAATGAATGAATGAGTCAGTGGTATTTGAGCTTTATATACCGGGTGTCCAGAACCACCCGTACACCCCTTTCAAAACGCTGGAAACATTTTCTTACAAACAAAAAATAATACAGAACTACCTAAATTGGGCAGGTCTACCAAATGGTGATAATTTCAAATCCAAAATCACACCGGAAGTGGCTTTTTCAGACCGGAAGTTGACTTTTAAATGTAAGCTACCAATTTTGATTACAGAATCGGATTCTACGTTGAAAAATGCATAACTTTTGTACAAAACTTTTAAAAAAAACTAGTTTTCTACCTCTAATTCCCTATTAAAGTCAATCATTTTTGGTCATTCATCTGTCAAAGTTACTCGAAACAATAATAGAGAAAAGATAACAAAGATTACATAAAGACATATGTTGAATAGAATCAGCTGTTTATTGTAAACACCTTAGTAATTGAGTAATAGCTGGTCAACACATTGCTTAATTTAATTTTTGTTTAATTCATTTGTTTTTACATTTGACCATTTTAATGTAAAAACAAATGATTTTTTTATAAAATGTGATATTAAGCAATGTGTAGACCAGCTGTTACTCAATTACTATAGTGTTTACAATGAACAGCGGATTTTATTTATCACATGTCTTTAGGTAATCTTTATTATTTGTTTTTCTTTATTATTGTTTCAAGCAACTTTGGCAGATGAATGACCCAAAATTATTGACTTTGATAGGGGATTGGAGGTAAAACACTAGTTTTTTCAAATCATGTTTTATACCAAAGATATGTATTTTTCAACGTAGAATCCGATTCTGTAATCAAAATTGGTAGCTTACATTAAAAAAAGTCAACTTCCGGTCTGAAAAAGTTACTTCCGGTGTGATTTTAGATTTTAAATTATCACCATTTGGTAGACTGCACCCAATTTAGCTAGTTCTGTATTATTTTTTGTTTGTAAGAAAATGTTTCCAACGTTTTGAAAGGGGTGTACGGGTGGTTTTGGACACCCATATAGATTAGCTTTATCCATATTTTATTTTGTTACTAAAATTGTACAATAGGTTAGTTTTCATTTATTTTTATTTATTTACAGTAGTTATTCTAACACATTTTTTGGGGGGAAGTTTGTTGTATTTAGTACACATACAGTATGTCCTGTTGACCAAAATTGAATTTTCCAATTTTTGATTAGTCGAAGTACATTAAGGTTTAACTTTTAGTATCCTAAATTATGTTATTTTTATTATAGGTAGAATTATTGTAAACTGCTAAATACAATACATAAAAAAAAACCCTAATGATCACATAGTCTGAACAATCTTAAACCAAAACTTAAAATCATCCAAAAGTATACATTTTTGGAGGGAAATGACCCATACAATTAAAAACCTCTTTGTACAACAGCCCATTGCTATTTTTGTTTAAGCTATTTGATTGGAACCATTGACTTTGGATACTGCAGGTCCTACATATTTATACCAGTTTGTAAGTGATTTATGTGTGTTTTAGTTTGAACGTACCTTAAAATTAATTGTGTTCAGCTGTATATAAATACACAGGGCCGGACTTACCTATGGGCGAAGGGGGCGAACGCCCGGGGCCCCCGGGCCAAGGGGGGCCCCGCCAGGGGCCCCCTTTGTACATTTGTTTTTATCATTAACTTCGAAAATTGATCAGACACTTAACAAATGGCCTTCTTTTGTAACAGCTTTATTTTTATTTTCGCTATCCTATGTTTAAGGTTATTGTTAGGTGCATTTTAAGGCATTACTAGGAATGAGATTCTTGACCCTAAGGGACTTTTTCTCAGAGTTGCACTGGGCCCCACGCTTAGGCCTGGTTTACATGAGCTGAGCATGTGATAGGCTGTGACGGACAAGTTTCAGTTTCAATGAAGCCGCTCGCCCGAACGTACGGCCGCGGCGAATGGGTTGAAGGGGGTCCCGCGCTTGGGGCAAAAATACAATAAATATGAAAACTCTAGTCCCAACGTAGAACGTAACTTGTAAAATTGTATTGTGTTAAATGGAGATTCACTGGAGTTCAAATACTTTTAAAAATAAAAACATTGCTCAGTTTATGTTTTATTAAATGTTATTCTTTTCTTTTACCTCTAAGGATATACCAATCAGGATTTTAAGGGGTAGAAGTATATTATCCGTTCAATTGAAAGGTTTTGTAAAATAGTAATTAATTAAGTTATGCGTCCAAATTTTGATCTCCAATTACGTCTTTGGAGTCAAAATCATATACTGTAGCAACAGTAAGATTTTTAAAATCTATATAGACACTTTAAAACAACTAGAGTCGTCTGATGTTAACAAAAAATTACATTTATTGGGAGTGGGCGAGCGTTGTCGACTGAAATCGTAAACAAGCGATAAGCAGAAGCAGCTGCAACAATCAATGATAATGAGCTGATAAGGGATCCTGTCTAGTCCTGACTCTCACGCACGCGCATTCACACACATAAAATGCCTTATCGCCTATCCAAAACAATTTAAATCACTTTACTCCCATAGTTTGTCCTTTGAGACTAGTGGTCACGTCAAGTTGGTTGAAATTGTCTTACTTTTGTGTTATTTTATTGTAATTCTGCAAACTAACAGTACAAAAACAAAGCTGAAGTGAGTAATGTTGTATTCAATGCTATGTTTGTGTTGTATTAATCGATATTGGATCCATTTAAACATCTTTCAGTTACTCATATAAATACTGCTTGTGAGTGTTTATTAGACATTGCAAGATTTTGCTCCTCAATAAAAAAACTCAAACTTGAAAGTCCCCAATGGTACTTTTCATGCTAGGACTTTAACATATTATAAAAACGAGAATGCCATAGGTACCAAAACCATTATGAAAATAAAATAATCACACCTATATTGTAGGAATATTGAAAAACCAAACAAATCGACGGCAATAATCGATAATTTAAATACGTAATAAACAAAAATATATCAATACTTCTTATCCAAATATATTATGGTAGCCTACCATGATACCATACCAAATATGCCGTCAATACATTTTTATTTTTGTGTATAAAATTAAAATATGCTGTATATAAAAATATGTTAAAATAGTTATATTTTAAGAAATTTTTTTATATAGAACTTATTGCTTATTTGGCCTTAAATTGCTCTATTTGAAGCCTAAATTTAGAAAATTTTCCCGGGGGAGGACCCCCTAATCCCACTGGAGGACCCCCCCCCTGAACTGAAATCCTAGGGCCCCATTGGAAAATTTGCCCGGGGCCCCTGAAGTCGTAAGTCCGGCCCTGTAAATACAACTTCTAAAGAGATGTTTGACCTTTGATGGAACTCAGCATCGACATGTTTTGTTGAGCTTAGTCCACTTCCACTAGTCAAACATAGACAAAAGGCTCATTAGATCAGCTTGACTCAGTTAAACAGTCGGTAAACCCAACTTTGCGCCAACTGAAGTTTAACTTCAAACCCATACAACCAATCCCTCAGTTATACGGTTTCTGATTGTTAAACTTGAGCTTGTCAGACAGTTTCTGTGGCTTAGAACTTGATTGTGCGTCATTTACAGATGGCAGAAAACCGTAATTGTTGACTTCTCATCATGATTGAAAAAGTTTAGAAGTATTAAACTGATTTCCTTTTAAGTAATAATTGGTTTCTTCAACAATGCGTAATGAGATTTTAATTACATAAAAAATTATATCTCACGTCAATGTCTGGCTACAACAGATATTTTCCTAAAGCTTTCAACATTTGTCGATTATGTCTTTCTGGATGGATGGAAGTTTTAGTAAGTAATCCTTACTTAATTGATGGGTTTCTTCACCAGATCGTTACGAGAAGTTTAAATTAATATTCCAACTTCAGTACAAGTTGAATAGTAATCGTGCCTGGGAGTTTGGGATTTAATCTTGTGGCTTTTTTGTCAC